GTTCGCAAACATCCAACATGGCGGAGGAAGAATCGCCGCAAGCGCATGGAGAGCTGCCCTTAAGGACGAAGCCTAAGGGTGAAACGGAGGCACGCGGCAGCAAGCAAGATGGTAGAGACATGGCGCATTTTTCAAATGGCAAGCGGATAGGTTGAAGCAAGAAGACAGTGAGGAGGAGAAGAGGAAGAGGCGAGACGACACGGAACGAAGTGAAGGAAGGAAGTAACTAATTAATAAATAAATAAGGTGAATGAGATTAATAATAATAATATTAATTAGTTAATTAATTAATTATTGATATATAGTGAAGTGATTAGTAGATTCATAAATAAATAATAAATAATAAATAATTAACAGATAGGCAATTAATTCGGTGTAGTGTTGGGAAAGTGTTATGGGAGTGCAGTGAAGTGCTGTGAGTGTTGCGGGTACAGGGGAATATACGTAACCCCGTACGCGAGTGCAGAGAAAGCAGTGTGAAGCGGGAAAATGCAGCAGTGCAAAGCGGGAAAATGGCGGAAAAGTGTCGGAAGGACAGCGGAAAACGCTCCACCACCCTGGAAACTCCGAAGTCACAACAATGGTGGAGCAGAGGGGTCGGATCGAGAATACCCAACATGGCGGAGGAAGGACCGCTGCAAGCGCTTGGAGAGCGGTCCTAAAGGGTGAAGCGAAAGGATGCGGCAGCAAGTAAGACGGCGGAGACATGGCGCGCTTTTCAAACGACAAGAGGAGGGGAAGAAGCGAGAAGATAGTGTTACGTTCCGAACAGGAATATTTTTCAAAATTTTCTTTGTAGTTCTCACCGACCGGATGTGTATCGATAATGCGTATTGCATTATGTAACAATAGCGAGAGGGAGAAGAGGAAGAGCAGGAGTGGAAGAAGCAGAGAAACATAGACACGATCGAACGACTCAAACCTGCAAGGGAGGAAACCGGTGTCAGCCTGGTCATAGCACCATTAGGCGGCACAAAACAGGGACCGACGGAGCCGTGGAGAGGAGGGAGAAAGGTCAACTGTGTCAACTACCCTTCTGATCAATTGTCGGTTCAGCAAGCAACTCAGTCGTCAGCCTGGTCATGACACCATTAGGGGGCGACAATGGGGACCGAGTGGAATCGACATGAGAGAGCGAGCGGGATCGGCAGAAGAGAGGAAGGAGAAACTACATTGTTCGGAGAAATAGGTACTGAAGTAAAAGGTTAGGGGCCATACTAGTTAAACATAGAGACGCGAATAGTTGCGTAAAGCTACGGGAAATTTTTAATTTTTGAGGGGGGGAATTAGGCTAACATTAGCAATTTAGTAGGTGTAATGTGGTGGGGAGAGGTCGCGATTTTAGGACCGTATGTTTGGACGGAATGGAAGGCCGCAACGGGTGGCATTACAGGATGAAGCTGGAAGCTGGAGCGCTTCCCCGAGGAACTTGACGAAATCACCTGGGCCAAGAGCCACCGCGTAAGGGGATCCTCTCTCTGCATGCAGAGCATTCGCGAAAGATGGGGTTCAGTCTCTTTTCCTTTCTTCAACGAACGCGAGCAACGGCCTAGCGCAGGGGGACCATATCCAACGCCAGGAAAACCTGCCGGGTTACAGCCACCCCTCGCCTTTGTGGCGGAGGCGAGAGACAGTTTTAGTGGGTCTGCGTGGAAACCGCCCCCAGTAGAAGGGACGCCGGAAGCGTGAGTCTTTCCACACTACCTGGGCTATCTTCCCAGGTGTCCGTAATTGGATTTCTGTCTTCCTTAAACAAAAAAAAAGAGTTACTCCTGCAAACCTGGTTGACGAGAGAAAAAAGATAGAGAGAGAGAGTTGTACTATGTTTTTTGCGTAAATAAAGAAAGAAATTTGCAACTCCGTTATTTCCTGTACGCTCTCCTAATCTCCGAATAAATATTCCTATTTTCCAGAATTCCTGTTATCCTTACGATTTCCTTGTGTCTCTGAATCCTAACCTGAGTAAAAGATGGCTACAATTTTAAAATTAGAAATGAAATGCTGAAACATAAGTTGAAGACTGTATTATACAAGAAAATACAATTATTTAATATTTCAGTCCGTCTTTTTTATTCATAATTCTAAATATATACAAATCCAGCACTTACCAAGTGTACCGTCGTTTAAATTGAAGTCAAGGTTTTGATCTAACCATTAACAAAAGCCCGAAACATAGAATGCGTAAACTTATATCAACACACTCTTATTATTCTACTAATTAGGTTTACGTTGTAACGCATTATTTACGGGTTTATCTTACATTGTAGCTAATTAATATATCAAATATCAGTAACAATATTGAACTAATTCTGGTCGTGTCTTTCGCATATTTTTAAGAAGAAATTTTTTGAATATAATAATTTGTCCATCCACGTTTAAAGAAGGCTTAATACAAGTATGCTATTTTCCTAAAGTAGCCTTAGTCTACATAATGGATAATAAATATCTTTTAGCAAACAAATTACATAATTTAATAACGATTCACTACTTTTACAATATGTTCGAAAAGTTATGAATATTTCATAAAACAAAATTTTTTAATACAGAGTGTTCTCAAAAAAGTACGCTCACTTCGACATTTTCGACACGCATGAACGTGTAAATAACTTGCGGATAATCCACTCAGTATCACGTTACATTTTGTTCATTTATCCTATTATTTATCCTATTATAGCTATAAATATGTCAACAAATGTGTGAAAATGTATAATAGTCAGTTAAAACGTGAGTACACTTTCTGTTTGGTCGTAAACCCAAACTTATGTCGCGACTAAGGAATTTATTGCAGGGTTCAAGTGGTTCGGCGCGTAGACCACCGTGAGTGGTTTATACCTCGAAATACGGGTCACCGAGGACCCTTTTGTCTATCAAATCCTGTCCGAACCAGTCTTACCGTAAACATGTGCTTGCCATAAATCAGCTAACAGCTATACCTCTCTTTTGTGAACAGTTTTAACAAACGAAAACATAGAGTTTTTCTTAACTGTTACCTTCGGAGACACGAGGGTGTTCAGGCAATTTCTTCTACAAAAACACAGTGAGTCGAACGTTGAATCTTGTGCGAATCGGACCGAAAGTCAAAAAGTCGGATCGAGAGTGAGAAAGTTCCGCTTAACGTAACATAGTATAACCATTGCAGGGTGGTTCGGAAATCAATCATAACACTATTCGAGCGGGACCCTGCACTCCTCGAATAGGCCATTGTAGGGTGGTAGAAATCATACATTACACACTGTTCGAATGAGACCCTACACTCCTTGAACAGGCCATTGTAGGGTGGTAAAGATCATACATCGCAACGCTATTCGAGTGAGACCCTACACTCCTTGAATAGATCATCGTGAATAATCTCACGCAACGTGGATTATCACACGAATCAAACCACATTGAGCGAGACCCTGTTCTCTTCAAATCAAACAACACTGAGCGAGACCCTGTTCTCCTCAAATCAATCAACAATCAACTCAACCATATACACAACGTATACATACTCATACACACTTTCACCGTACAGTCGTTAACAAATACATATTTTTGTAAGGGGTTTTTTATGCCGCAAGGCTTTTTCCCCTAATTCGAATCATTCGAGCCAATAAATTATCATGATTTTTGAGGCTCAATTACGTCTAAACAATTTTTATTTACCCTCTTCCTCAATCAAATTCATCCATTCTTTTGAAACACGAAATTTCTCCATTTTGGAAAGATTTCGACGATACACTTTCCTAGAACATCCTCATTCCTAGTTTAAATTTAAAAATTTTATTGTATTTTCTCCAACGATATTTCGTTTATACGATATTTTTTTAGCAAAATGTATCAAGTATTCCTGTTTACCCCATTCGTAATTATAATGATTATATCAGGCTAACGCAACAGACCTGATGTACATAAAATTGCATTAACTTTTTCATTATTAGTATATGAGCATTACTAGAAGCAATTTGTACTTGTTACGACTGCATCAGGGAGTTGGGAACAGAACTGATGTACATAAAACTGCATTATTTTGTAAGTTATCAATATGCGAAAACTACTACCTTCTTTTACTTGTAAGTAAGAAGAAATATAGATGTTTTAATAGAAGAAAATCTTCTTTTAGTCGTCATCTTCGTAAGATTCAGATGATACTTGATTAAAATATTCATTACTTCTCGTAAATGTCTTTAACATGTACTTTTATACCTATCATTTTCCACATTAAAGTAAAATTTAGTGAATGTTTAAGTAAGTAATATTTTAGTGAATATCTCGGAAGATATTAGAAATAAAAAGAAGATACTGATTTATGAATGTTGTCTTTAAACTCTTTAAACTAAGTCTTTAAGTCTTTAAACTAAGATTTTTTAATCTTTAAACTAAGAATTTGATGGTGTGTCTATTTTTTTAGAACATTATATGTATATTTCGTTAATTTTTTTTGCCAAATATTAATCCCTTTTCTTCTACATATTCATAAAGAAACTATTATATCCATATGCAAAATACAGCCAAATTAAAATATTAATTTTTTCATTACATAGAAGGTTCATGTATGTAGGATGGGAGCAAGAAGACTAGACAACGGATTAAAGTAATAATAGAAATTTAATAATTTGGAAGGAACAATGAATACACAAAACTAAAGTTAACGTTTCCATGGTTCGGTCAAGACTCTTTGCTTTCGACGCCGTCGCGCTTTTATACGAGGTCTGTTCCAAAAGTATCCGACCTTCCTTCATATTTCTCTGCTGGTGTTATCCTGCGTCATCAGGCTGGTGGTATCCTTCGAAGTAGTCCCCTATTGATTGTAGAATACTCTGCCAACGACCTTTCCACTTATGGAAACAGTCCTGGAACTCGTTTTTCGGAATAGCCTTTAGAGCTTTCGTCGTATTAGTTTCGACCGTTTCTTTATCGTCGAATCGGTGTCTTTTGAATGGCATTTTCAATCTTCGAAACAACCAAAAATCGCAGGAAGCTACATCAGAACTGTACGGAGGCTGATGGAGCTGTGTGACTTTGTGCTTCGTCAAATATTGTTGCACAAGATTCGATGCATGCGCTGGTGCGTTATCGTGATGAAGAAGCCAATCACCGCTTGACCAAAACTGAGGCCAAAACTAGTTTTCGGTATTGCAAGATCACATTCTAGTTCTCGCACAGTCAATCGACGATTTTTGTTGATCGCAAGTCGCACACGTTCGATATTATTAGGTCTTGTTGTCGTGGAAGGCCGCCCAGAGCGTAGGTTATTATCAAATTATCAACAGATGGTGGAAGGCCGCCCAGAGCGTAGGTTATTATCAACAGATGTGCGGCCATCTTTGAACCGCTTATACCACTCTTTGATTTGTGTGTTCCTCATATACTCATCCCCAAATGCCTTCTTCATCATATCGATGGTTTCCGCATAAATTTTTTCGAGTTTTAAGGAAAATTTGATGCAAATTCGTTCCTCCGATATTTCCTTCATTTTTCACAACAGCAGAATGCGACGAACGTAAAAAACGCTTCGTAATGAAGTGCATGTTGCACATGAACTAAGGCGTCCCGACGAAAACTGCGATATAGTTGGAGTTCGTAAAGCTTTGCAGTTGATACTCATACCCGGCAAATGACGCTAAAACTGTCAGGTACGAAGAAATTAAAGAAGGTCGGATACTTTTGGGACAGACCTCGTATACATACTTCGCATTCGCACTCTTTGTTTCATACACACTCATACCACGTAAAATTAATCGCCCGTTACCGAATCCCGTATTTGATATGTTATCATAATTCTGCACCATGTGAAGTGTCACACCACGTATAATCAAACGTTTTATGATATTTATTGTTAGACAAGCATGTGACAGTATGCTTTTAATATAAAGCGATGTAATATGATATATAAATGTTGTCAATCGTAAAATCTTTGTTAAGAACCACAGTTCTTTTTAATCTTACACAATTTATGTTCACTATTTTTCCGTTTATGATTATATTGCAGCTTTGAAAAGAATCTGCTGGTATTGTCAAATACTGTGGAACACCAGATGGTCGAAATTGAGGTTCTACCTGCTGAATCCTCAGTTTTATATTTCTATGGTTGAGTTAGTAAATTGTACTTGAGATGATCCTAAAAAGTGTTATGTTGTTGGTCTCCAAATAGTTTAAACTCTTTCTGCAGGTATGAAGCTGTGGACAATGCGGATTTCAAGTGCAAGTTGTCTTGCTTTTATTGTGGATCTTTATTGCAGGACTATGTTTCCTTCGTATTTATACCTTGTTTTTCATAAAAAGGGGCTGCGTAAATGTCTCTGATTGGTTGTGGTTATTCAAATAGGAACAAAAATAACTGGCACTATATAAAATCGTACCGAAGATATATAAGCACACAACTTGTGTTAAACTTTCTGTATGCCCATTGTGGTCTATAGACTAAATCAGAATATATACTCTTTTACTTTAGTCTATGCTTTTATGTTGCTGCACTCGAGTGTTCCCTCTGAGGAGACTTTTGAATGTTAAAGCAAAATCTTCGAGTACAAAAGGATAACAATTGTTCAAAATTACAAACGAAACGTGACCCACTACAACATGACAATGCAGAAAATTGCAGTAAAAAATACTTTATGTTTAACCCTTTCGCGCCGAGCGCCGCATATATGCGGCATCCACTCGACGACCCCTGGGTACGAGCGCCGCATATACGCGGCATCCGCGCTACGACTTTTGGGTATAGTATCTTGTTCAGTGACGGTACTTCGGCGGACGGGACTGCCGTAGCGAAAGGGTTAATTGCTAATTTCTCCCAGACACTGAGTATTACATCGTTTATGTTGATATTCACATACTAGTTCAATAACTAAATTTGTAAATAGTAATTTGCAATAAGTACTTGTTCTACTTCAGTTTTATTATGATTATTGGTTAAATGATCACCATTTTAACACAAACCTTTCTCTCGATTAAATTCTATTTTTTTACTTCATAAACGATTAAAAATTTATAAATTATCGCGTTATAAGTCAGGGGTAGTAAATTTTTATATGTTGCATACTTATATCAGCATCACAAAATGACGTAACACATCATTCTGGACAATATTTGACATAACATCGTCGCCTCGAAGGCATCTTATCTCGCTTGTACACGAGTACGCGGTTCGGTTATTACATTAAACTCGGCTTCGTGTCACAGTTTAAACTGTCACCACGAGGTTTCCTCGGAGAATTTGCCGATTAGTTCGCAAAAAACCGAGTCATCGATGTATGTCACGTAACTCGAAGACTTGAGATTTACTCGAGACGAATCACTGAACGTAAACTTGTATATTCCAATTACGCAATTACTCAACTCGTTCTGCGTCATACTGAAAGGATTAATGTAATCATATATCTAAATTATGTAGCAAATTTCCTTTTATGCGAGGTTCAGGAATTTTAAATTTAAAAACATTTCAATTTCAAAATATAAAAATTTACAATATGGAAATCTGAAAATTTACACCTTAAAGAAAATATGCTGATGGAAATTCACCCTAAAACAGTATGAAAAGTGATCGATATCGGACCGAATATAACAGTAATGTTGCGAGGAAGAAACCATTCATAAGCAAAGTAAACAAAAAGAGACTTTAGAATTAAAAGATCAATACATAAATGCTAGCGATGACTTCTGGAAAAACGTAGTATTTTAACGTTGTATTTTAAAGTAAAATTTAATATTTTTTAATCGGACGGTAGTAAAAAAAAGTATGGCAGAAAGCTAACACTGGATTGGATTTCAAAAATATGTGACCGACAACGAAACACAGAGGTGGAATAATAGATAAAATAATGAATACCCATTTATATTTGAATATTTTAAAAGAAAATTTACAAAACAGTGCAGATGAATTAGAGTTAATTATATTTATGAATTAGATGAATTTTATTTTCAGCATAACTGCGACGAAAAACATACAGCCTGTATGTGTAGTGCGTCAGTGGTTGTTAATACCAATACTCCCCACAGATTAGCAACTCCTCTACAATTGCTTGACTCAAATCCTATCGAACACATATGAGTGAAACTAGAAAAAAATGTACGAAAACATGGTATACATAATACTTGAAAGAAATATTCAGAAGAGAATAATGTAATATAGAACCTGTCTTCGTTAAAAGTATGGTGTTGTCAATGCTTGACATGTGTATGTATTACATGAAGTGATTCACCGGAAGGGTTATCATACAAAATATTAATTTATAAAATTCCTGTTAAAATAATTGTAAGATTAATTAAGTGTACGAATATTTTTGTCCTGGCGATTTCTTACAGTCTCGTGAATTTCAAATTATTTCAAGTTACTACATAATGTTATTGCCGTCGGTTTTGGGTCATTTGTTGCTGTAAATATACTGTTTAATATATAGCTATATATGATTAAATACACTTAATAATATAGAAAATATTGTTCTTTTTATTTCTATATTTCAAGTGTATGAATACTTTTGTCCTCCAATGTAGATATTTAGAAATTTGGCAACTCGAGATTTGAAAATTTAGCATTTCGGGACTTTGAAAATTTTGATTATTTGCAATATGAGGAGCATTACTTGCAGGAGGATTATTTGCAACTTGTGGATTAAGTACTTTATGAGTTTAGAAATTTTTGAACTTCATGATATCAAAATTAAAAAATTTCGAATTAAAAAACTTGAAGGTTTGAAATTTAAAAATATAATCGTTTAAAACATAAAGATTTATGAATTTGAAAATTAAAACGCACATATACAACTGACAGTTACCGAATAGTTCACACTGTTTACACACTATTCACGTAAATAGAGCAATATAGAACATTCTAAGTGTTCAAATAAAAACGTAAAAATATAAAACTTCAACAATAGCATGAGTGATATTAGCATGAACTATATTATCTATATAATCTCATAAAAAATTCAAGTAAACTTTAATAAAATGAAAATTAGAAATATTTCTCGTTTTTCTATGTTTCTACTTTGACAGTTTCTTTCTTTATTAGTATATGGAGCAGTATTAACTATTTTATAAACATGTAGTATTCTGTAGAAATATTTATGCATATAAGAAATGAATCATGCATTTCATAAAAATGTTCGTATAACTGTATTTTTTAATGATATGTAATACATTAATATTTTAGAACTCATCTTTCTGTCTCTGAATCAGGTATAATTTTTAAACATGAAACGTTAAAAAAATTGATTTTCGCGATGAAATCTATTAAAGCTTTGAGCCATTCTTAAAGCAGTTTTGAGGATTTTCTTATGAACTATATTTCTTATATTTGAAAATAATTCCAAATATGTTCATAGAATTTAAATTTGATGATTAAAATGATGAATAAAGCCATTTTAAAATAACATACATTAAATTTCATTTTTTTTTTTTTCATTAAAACAATCTTTCCACGAAGTATATAAAGTCTTTTATAACTAACTGTACATTACAGTAGCGTAAATTAAGAAAAATGAGAAAGAAAGACATAAAAGAGGGAAAAAATGTGGCATTTTGCTTTAAAACAGGTACATGTTGAATTGTAAAACGTTGTAAATTAAATAGCCACAACGAGTATTAGAAATAATTTAAAGGCGTGCTAATTGGAGGGCCAGAAAAAGCTATAGTTAGAGTGGAAATTTTGGTAAAAGGACAAGAAAAAAGAAACGCGTAAATTTGCAGGTGTTGATTAGCTGAGAGAAGGAAAGTACTGTGGAACGAAAAAAAATTTTTTAGTAAAATGTACTAAGTCAATTTGCTAGTTAAATTTTGAATTATAATAAAAAAAGGAAGAAAAGAGTCTTATGCATAGAAAAATTCAAGATGCGTGCACAAAACTCTTGTTATAGTTGAAAGTCCAAGTTAATTAGCGATTTAAAAACAACAGGCCGGTATAAAACATAAGAAGGTACAGTAATTAGGTAGTAACGACTACATAGTATTATAATCTCGCAATTATTTATTAACATGCTTCTGGGCACACTGAGTAGAGAAATTTTATAGCTCTAAATTAGTAAGTAGAAAATATTTAAATAATAGAAATTTAGATTATAATGTGCTATTTGAATTAATAAGTTTGTTTAATATATTCAGATTATTGCTAAGATATGTAATAAAGGATTTTTGAAGAATCTATTTGATATCATTTTAACTTCAGATGAAAAAAATTAAATGGCTTTTGTAACCAGAGAATTGAACAAGAAACAATTGTTTTGGGGTCATTCCACGCCAAATCGATCACTTTTGGAAGTCACCATCTCTGATTTTGTTCTAATCGAAATATGTTATAGTCCATGTGAAATTAGGGGGGGTTTAAGTCATCATTTTGCTGGCTTCGAATTCGTTAATGAATGGCAAGCTTTCAAAGTTTGCAATTTTTGCCCATTTTGGCGAAAATAGGGTCCACTTAGGAATTTTTTTTCTCAGAAACCACTCAACCGATTGAGCTAAATTGCTTTTTGTTTTATT